CTTGGGCTGTGTGTGCCTGGCTCTGTTGCTGCAGGACTGCCCCTCAGCACAGCTTGGACCCCTTGGGCTGTGTGTGCCTGGCTCTGTTGCTGCAGGACTGCCCCTCAGCACAGCTTGGACCCCTTGGGCTGTGTGTGCCTGGCTCTGTTGCTGCAGGACTGCCCCTCAGCACAGCTTGGACCCCTTGGGCTGTGTGTGCCTGGCTCTGTTGCTGCAGGACTGCCCCTCAGCACAGCTTGCACTCCTCTTAGCTGTCTCTCAGCTCTCTCCTTGCTCAGAGAGTCCCAGCTCACCGGGAGGACGGGGCCTGGCCTCTTGCTTTCCTCACTGGCCTGTTCAACCTGTCAATCAGGCCGAGCTGAAGTGTTGGCTGCTTTCCATTGTCTCTGGGGTCTGTCAGTCTCAGGGCCCTGATTTCTCACGGACCCTTCCCCTTTTGATACTGGGAGCTGGCGAACCAAAAGCTCCCACAGAGTTTTAGTAAGGGGCTAACAGTCCCCTTACATTTACAAACCACAGTTAATAGTTCTGCAATCTCACATTTGAGTTCTTTCAGAACCCTTGGGTGAATGCCATCTGGTCTAAATGACTTAATACTATTTAGTTTATCAATTTGTTTCAAAACCTCCTCTAATAAGAGCTCAATCTGGGACAATTCCTCAGATGTGTCTCCTACAAAGAATGACTCAAGTTTGGGATTCTCCCTCAGGTTCTCAGCCATGACGCTCAAAGCAAAGAATTCATTTAAATTCTCCACAATAATCTTAACACCCTTGAGTGCTCCTTCAGTATCTTGATTGCCCAGCGATCCCACTGGTTGTTTAGCAGGCTTCCCGCTTTAGATGTATGTAAAAAAAGGTTTGCTGTTACTTTTGGAGACTTTGGCTAGCTGTTCTTCAAATTCCTCTTTGGCCTGCCTAATTATATTTTTACAAAAGCTTCAGTGGAGTAGCCAAGTTAGTCTGTAACAGGAAAACCTTAAAAAACAACAAATAGTCCAGTAGCATCTTAAAGACTAACAAAACATGTTGATGGTATCACGAGCTTTCATGGGCACAGCCCCCTTCGTCAGATGTGCCCACGAAAGCCCATGATACCATCTACATGTTTTGTTAGTCTTTAAGGTGCTACTAGCCTATTTGTTGTTTTTTAAGGTTTTGTTAAATATTTTTACGCTTCATTTGACAAACTTTATATGCCTTTCTATCGTCCTCACTAGGATTTAACTTCCACTTTTTAAATGATGCCTTGTTGTCTCTCACTGCTTCTTTTACTTGGTTGGTAAGATGATGCTTTTTCTGGTTCTCTGTGTTTTTAATTTGGGGTATACATTTCATTTGAGCCTCTCTAATGGTGTCTTTGAAAGGTTTCCATGCAGCTTGCAGGGATTTCACTTTTGGCACTCTACCTTAATTTCTATTTAACAAACCTCATTTTCCTGTAGTTTCCCTTTCTGAAATCCATGCCACAGTGTTGGGCTGCTGAGGTGGTTTTCCCTCCACAGGGATGTTCCATTTCATTATATTATGGTCACTATTTCCAAGCAATGGCTATTAGGCAGGATGGGCAGGGAGGGTGTCCTTAGCCTCTGTTTGTCAGAAGCTGGGAATGGGTGACGGGGAGGGATCACTGGATGATTCCCTGTTTGCTCCTTCTGGGGGCACCGGGCATTGCTCATTGTGGGCAGACAGGACACGGGGCTAGATGGACCTTTGGGCTGCCCCAAGTCTGGCTGTCCTGATGCAGAGTCCCAGGCAGATCCCCTGCACTGATTGTACGTCAGCTCTAGTCACCTCTGGGACTGGATCCTGCGCTAAATCAAGAATTGCCTTTCCCTTTGTGGATTCTAGAAACGGCTGTGCCAAGAAGCAGCCATTTAAGGTGTCAAGAAACTTTATCTCCGCTTCCCATCCAGAAGTGTCGTGGACCCAGTCAATTTAGGGGTAATTGAATCCGCATTCTTACTGAGTTTTTTATTTTGATAGCCTCTCTAATCTCCCTTAGCATTTCACAATCAGTCACTCTCCTGGGGAAATAGATTCCCTCCTGCTATATTCATACTATTAGAGCATGGAACTACTATACACAGAGATCTGTGACACAGTTTGGGTTACACAAGATTTTTACTGCATTTGATTCCCCACTCTCTTTCACTTAGGCTATGTCCACACTGCCTTTTTTGGGGGTAAAAGATACGCAAATTGTGAACCACAATTTTCATATCTTTTTCCACTTGTTTTTTCATCTACACGAGGCCAAATGTCGGAAAAACCTCCTCTTTTGGAACATCCCTTATTCCTAATAAAATGAGGATTACAAGGATGCCGAAAGAATGCACCTGCTTTTTCGGAAACTCTTCCGGAGAAGGGGACGTGTTCTCTGGATGCAGCAGAGTTCTTCCGGGTTAGTGGAGGTATCCTGGAAAAACTCTGAAGTCTAGACATAGCCATATAGTGCTCCTCCCCCATTAGCATGACCTGCTCTGTCCTTCTGATAGATTTTGTACCTGCTATAAGTGTGTCCCCTTGATTGTCCTCGTTCCACCAAGTTTCTGTGATGCCTGTTATATCAATAGCCTCCTTCAGTACAAGGCACTCGAGTTCACCCTTCCTAGGATTTAGACTTCTTGCACTGGTATATAAGCCCTTTACAAACGTCACCATTCAGCCATCTGCCACTACATGATGTGATTGAATGGGACTCTTGCAAAAGCCTGACCCCCCTTCCAGTTTCATTTGATATTAATGTTAGAAAGTGTGGGGCTATTCCCCACGTGGGAATTTAACCTCGGAGCAGTTTAAATTGTGGCCACAGTCTGTCCTGCTCTTGCAGTGATGCTTCTCTGCCTTCTAGGGCACCCTGAGGGAGTTAGCTGAGCTCCACCCCACGGCTGATGTGCTGTGTGTCCTGCACCAGGGAATGTCACTGCTCATCAGCCGCATGCAACCCAAAGTGAGTTCCAGACAACACGAGCCGACGGTGTGAACGAGCTCTGTGCAGTCCCCAGCTCGAGCGGAACATGGCAGCTGCTTCCCAGAGCACACCAGGCGTGGCAGGAGACTCCTGTTTCCAACCGGAACAGCTGGAGGGGAGCGGCAAGGCTGAATGCAACTGGGTTTGTGTTGCATCGCAGTGGGAAGCCTGCGAGCATTGCAGGGAAAACCGACCCAGAAGAGAGGGCATCCTCACTCCTCCACATGGAACCTGCGCGCAGCATGCCTTAGCACTGTGCAGAGGCCCTGGGGCTAGGGTGCCCCTCTCTCAGTCCCTAACGCCCCGATGCCCAGGTTTTCCCCGGATGGCTCCTGTCCAAGTATGAACTCAGCCTATGCCTGCTTTGCTCAGAAGACCAGCCACATTCGCAGTGAGATGGGAGGTACAAGAGAGCTCCAGGACACAGTGCCATGCTTGTGACTCATTAGACCCCTCCTCAGCGCTCCACTGAGATGGGCAGTGTCTCTCCCCAGCCAAGCAGGTAGGAGCCATGCTGTGCTGGTCACACCTGGAAGTCCCCTCTCATGGCTGGGCCAGCAAGACCCAGGCTCAGTAGGTCCCAGATTGGAGCGCTGCTCCCCAGCCATGCTGGTCTCTTTTCGGAGCTGCCTCCCGCCAACACGCACAAGAGTGATGTTACCTGTGAGAGCCGACAAGTCTCGAAGTCCCAGCTCCCGGAGTCGCGTGATTACATGAGAAGTTTCCACTTTCATGCCGAGGCAAGTAGAGGCAAGTGTCTAGCCCTCACGGCTGCGGAGAAAAATGTGAACCAAGTGCAGCCTGAGGGCTCCACAACCAGCTGGGAATAAGAACCTGGAATTTATTGTCTGTAAAAGTCTCGTCTGAGTTTGAGGCCCCGTGTGACTTTTGACACTTGAAGCTGGTGACGCTGTGGCAGAGGGGGCTGTAGTGGGAAGCTCCTCTCTGCAGATCTTAAGGGTCTTATCTCTGTGTGGGCCCCTCTCCTGGGGGCCTGTGCATGGTCAGCATCAGAGCAGGGTCTAATATCCCAGGCTCTGAAAGTGACTATTTGTTCCAACAAGTCTCCAGCTGAGCAGCAAGAGATGGAGCAAGGATGTGCACTCTCCTGCTGCCCTCCTGAGGGCATCCTACAGCACCTCCACGAGGCTGCACCACGTCCCGCCAAAGCAAGCAAACAAGAGGGGGCAGAGCTGTAGGAGTGGAGAGGGAGTTGGAGCCAGAGAGGCCCTGGAGGGGCACATAGGGGATAGAGAGGTATGAGGTCAGAGGAGCTGTGTCAAGAGGGGGAGCCACATCCAGTCTCCACCACCACGGCCAGCCCTGGAGCTCGGGTTGCACAGTCCCCACTGCCCTGGCCAACCCCAGTGCTTGGGCGACCAGGCAACACAGTGGCTTCACGTCCACCTCCACTTGCCTGCCCTGAGCCCCCCACAACCCTGAACTCAGCTCCCCCACATTCCATCTCACACTTAGATTTCCGATTGCAGCCCCCACCCGTCAGAAACTGAAGTTATTTTATTTTGCCTAGAACTGGTGATGTGGCAGAAATCCCAGGTAACAGGAGGGATGGGGGTGGGGGGAGTTTATTGGAATCACAGACAGAACAGAATCATTGAATCACACTGGAAATGCCGTGGATTCCAGGCCTGGGCCCTTACACTCATTAACAATATCATATTAACTGTGCAATGCCAGTACCCTAAACAACACCTAACACAGTCACGCAACAGCCGAGCAAATGCTTTCCTGATCCCAGTGCATGTGTCTGTCTGAAGCAGGAACAATCCAGGTTTAGCACAGTTGAACAGTTATACTGCAGTAGTGCCCGAGGCGCAAGGTCGGGGCGTCACCATAGACAGGTGGACAGACACATAGTCCCTGCTTTTCTTGCATAAATCTACAAGCTACTACAGAGCTGTAAGTATCATGCTTAGAAGGTATTTTTAAAGATGTTGCTTAAAGAGTGACGAGAATTTGTCTGGAGTTGGAAGATGTTACTCTGCTGAGAAACTGTTACATTAAGTTGTAGGTTTAAAGAAGGATGGAGTACGATTCTGGTCTGCAGAATCTACAGTCAAGTCTGACTGGAATTTAGCCTGAAACTGAAGTTCTGGTCAGTTTCTTGCACGCTAAAGTTGTGGTGGTGATGCGTACAAAAGCTCTCCATGCCACCAAACTCTCAGGACAAGTGAGACAAGCAGGAAAGGGTCACTTGAAAGTTTCGCATTCTCTTTATAAACATGACTTCAAAATGTCTGGGGCCATGCCCCATGCTAACGGTCACTTCTCAGGGTGCAGCTGCTTTTCCTGCGTGGAAGAAACAACATGCCAAAGCTCAGGGTGCACCAGTGTGACCAGGGAAGCTGGCAAAAAGTTGACCATGTCAAATTGGCTGTGATACAAAGCCAGGGTGTCTAGCAGTAGAAAAAGGCAAAATTCTGTGCAGCGGTGGATGTGAGTTGCAGGAGATACAGGGTGCTTGCACTCAGCATGTTTTGTTGTGTTCCTGTTGTGCTGCTTAGTTTTTCTGGGCTCCTGAATGAGGGCCCAGGCCTGGCACTGGTGAGGAGCAGGCACTTGTCTGCGCCCCTGAGGGTGGTGTGGCAGAGCCACAGGAGACCCACTGCTTGACATAACTCCGTGGGAAGTCCTCGCCTTCATTTCCGAGTGCCACAGATCCAGAACTACAGCCTGAATCGGTCTGACTGTTCTTCTCAAATTCACACTCAGTTGGACTCCCACAGTCTGAGTCCACAAATCCACTGTCAATGGTGTCTAAATCCAGGCAAATTGCTGGGTACCCATCACCAGTTTGTGAGTTAGGAGAGAAAAAGTCATAAGAGCCATCGCTGTAGGAAGCACTTTCGCCATCTGGAGAAGACAAAGAAACTGGACTTCCTAAATCCCATTGCTCAGGTTGCAGGCAAAGGGCCTCTAAAATACTCCCCATCCCTCCTCCTGGTGCCCCTGCCCTCAGGCGGTGCACCGAGCGACTCGCACTGCTCCGCGGGTGCTGCACAGACCTGGAGCCCAAGGCAACAGTGGCATCTTGTGCATGCTGGGCAGCCAGAGGCAGCCCGCTGGAAATCTCACTGTTGTCACTGTCAAGATTAACTTTGGGGTAGCCGTCCTCCCTATTGTCGTTGGCTTGGTCCAGATGCTCATGATCCCTGTGAGCACTGTTACAGCTGCATTGTGGGTGACAGGGGGTAAATTCGTCAGCCACAGTCACGGTGTCAATAGAGAGATGGCCATATGACTGGTCCTGTGTCCCACTGCTCCTATTCCAACTGGACAGATGGGACTGGCTGTCCTGACTGTGCATGGCCAGGCAAGACACACAGGGCCTGGAGAGGTGATCTTCATTGAGTTCTTTCAGCTCCGCAGATGCAGTGTGGTGGGAAAGGTGCTGGCTGTAAACTTCTAGAACTTCAGGAAGGACAATTCCCCATTCAAAGAAATCCAGGGTTGCTTTGGTACAGGATGCACCAACCCATTTCTGTGCAGAGACACAAGGAGAGAGGTTATTAAAACTATGCTCAGGCATGGCCTGTGCTGGTGAATCACATTGCTAAGGACAGGGAGGCGGCTGTGGCTGGTGGCAGCCCAAGGAACTGAATTGTTTTCAGAGGGAAATTGGACTCTAACCAACTGGGAAGGGCAAGAATTTCAGAGGCATTATTGCCAGCCCCAGTAGTTGCAGGAGAATTAGCTGGAAGTGAATTCACTTAGTCTCAGAGCGAGAGCCATGTTAGTCTGTAACTTTAAAAACGAGTGGTCCTGTAGCACCTTAGGCTATGTGTACACTATAGAGTTTTCTCCGGTAGCCCTGAAAAACTCTGCTGCATCCAGGGAACGTGTTCATTTTTTCAGAACAATTTCCAAAAGAGCGGGCACATTTGGCACCGTGTAGACAGGCCAAATGTCAGAAAAGCCTCTTCCGGAAAAAAAGTGGAAAAAGGTACACAAATTGCGGCTCGCAATTTGCGTATCTTTTTCTGGAAAAAGATTGCAGTGTAGACATAGCCTTAGGGTATGTCTACACTAGACCCCTAGTTCGAACTAGGGTGGCTAATGTAGGCATTCGAACTTGCAAATGAAGCCCGGGATTTAAATATCCTGGGCTTCATTTGCATGTTCCCGGGCGGGCACCATTCTGAAGTCCCCTTAGTTCGAACTGACTGCTCGCGGCTACACACGGCAGTCAGAAATTAATCCGAACTAAGTCCTTAGTTCGGATGAACTGTTACTCCTCCTGCATGAGGAGTAATGGTAGTTCGAATGAGGAGCTTTAATTTGAACTACCTAGCTCGTGCCATGTGGAGCTGCAGGCAGGGAGTTCGAACAACCGGGATTTAAAAATGGTGGTGCCCGGGAACATGCAAATGAAGCCCAGGATATTTAAATCCCGGGCTTCATTTGCAAGTTCGAATGACAACATTAGCCACTCTAGTTCGAACTAAGGTGGCTAGTGTAGACATACCCTTAGAGACTAACCACAATATCTAGAGTATCGTGAGCTTTCGTGGGCCAAACCCACTTCCTCAGATGGTGCCTAGGACTACTCGTTGTGTTCATTCACTCGGTAGTTTTGTCTAGCTCTTCCTTTCGCACGTGTGTCCCTGCCTTTGTACCCTGACTGATCCGGTCAAGCTCCTGGCCGGGCCTTTACTCCCCCTCACACAGCCCCCCTTTCCCCTAACACTGCCTCCTGCTGCATCCAACCCTGCGGCTCAGCCTCAGTGGCCTCTGTCTGCCTCTCACACACATGATGCCCCCTTTGCCTGGAACACCCCAAAGCCCTTTGGTTGCACCCTGGCCCTGGTCTCAGTGTTCCCTTCGGAGTGTACATAATCTGAGTCTCTGTGTGGCCTGCCAGCCGCAGTGCACCCCCTTGGCTCTGTTCTCGCTCTCATTTGTCATATCCATCTCCATTCTAGCTCGTAAGCTCCTGGGGCCACGGACACATCTGTCTGGAGAGGGAGCCCTTCATGCTCGATGGACACGGCCCAAAGAAGAATAAACACTTCATTGTCTTTATTTTGCAGCCATCACTCCTGGTGGGACCCTTGAATTCTCTTTGAAACTCTAGGAGTTGGCCTACACTACCACTAAGGCCCATGTAACTTATGTTACTCGGGGTGTTAAAAACCCACAGAAGTTACATTGACGTGTCCGGTGTCCACGCTGTGCTGTGTCAGTGGGGGACACTCTCCCGCCAACACAGCTTTTGCTTCTTGTGGAGGTGGAGAAGTTAAGTTGGCGGGAGAATGCTCCCCGGCAGCAGGGTGCCAGCGCAGGAGTGAAGACAAGCCCCAGCTCAAACTAGACATTGTCCCAATGGCCCTCACTAATTACTATCTATCTTGTACATTGCAGTAGGGCCCAAACTGCTGGGCGCAGCAGAGACATCTAAAAAAATTCAGTCCCTGCCCCAAACTGCTCTCGGCCTGACAGAGTCGTCTGAGATGTCGGGGGACAGGTCTGGAAAGCAGCTTGTACTGTCTGACACTCTGCACAGAAATCACGCACACCAAGCTGTGATCACCCAGTTTATACTGATGAACTGAGTGTTCGCCCCGGCTGCCTGTGAGCTGGAAAAAATCGGAAGATGCTCATACAGTGCAAAGGCTGTTTACAAAAAAACACGCAACCCCCTTTTCTTGGAGTTCAACAGGCAGAATGTACCTGCTGCTTGCCTGCCATCTCTCACTGCTTTTCCCAAGGTCCAGTTCCACCCAGAGTACAAGAACTGTGCAAGGTAACGAGTACGCAAATCTCCTCTGCTTCCAGCCCTAACAGTGCTGCCTGTTCTTGGTGATGGGACTCACTTTTCCCTGCCAGCCATGTCTGGAGTGGAGTCTGCCGGGCACATCCGCAGACAGGAATGGAGAGACATTTCACCCTGACAGCTCTGTGCGGGGCAGATATGTGAATTGGGATAGACTAAATGGGCCGAGAAAGCCTAAGGTGCTGGGATACCACCCTCTCAAAACTGCACCACTTTGGAGCCCGTGTTTTTCATTCTTCCATAACTCAAAAATTACTCAACAGATTTTCCTTGAATTAAAAATAATAATGAGAAGAACCAGGCCTGACCCCTATCTGGGCTGAGCCCCACTGTGGGGAGAGCAAAAAACTAGGGGTAAACCCTCAAGCCCTGGCGCTCGCTGCCCACAGCCTCTACCCAATCCCCTGAGAATTGGGCTCCCCTGCCTCTTCCCTCTGCTCTGCCTGAGCAGAATTTCCAGCTCCATTGCAAGAGGGCTCAGCTGCCTGGCTTTGTGCAGTCAGATTGTGGCTGAATCTGTCCTAGAAAAGTTGGGTTTTGCCAGCTGGTGATAAAGTCCCTGCTCAGGTGTGAGCAAGGTCACCACATCCTCTGCAGCGCCCTTGTCTGTGCAGTTCGTGCTGTGGCTGATAACTGCGTGGGCGACTGCTGCTTTATTCTGCAGCTTTATTAATTTCCCAGAAGTTTCTCATCTTAGAAATGAGTGGCCTTTCATTCCCTCTCAGCAGCCTCACAAGGAGCAGCCTCCGTCCTGGCCTGGTGGAGAAGGGCTGCCCCTTTTCCACCCCACAGCAGGACGCCGCGCCCTCTGTCTGAAGGCCCAGAGAGCCTCTGGAAGGGGGTGCTCAAGGGTGGGCTGCTGAGGAGAGTGGAAGAGTCACTGCAGTTCAAACTCATGTAGCCCAAACCGAGACAAAACCAGCAAACGTCTCCAAAGTCCGTTTCTTCCCGGCAGTGCCCAGCAAAGCGCAGCTCCCCCAAGGCTGCTCCTCTGCTCCCCCCCACCTGCCTCGCCTCTGTGGCTGGTCAGCACAGACCCTGCCTCGCCTCTGCTTCCCGGGCAGGGCGTGCATGGCTGCACTCGCTGAGCCCCCAGAACATCGCCAAGTTGCCTGGGAAGCCCATAGGGGAGTTAGCGCCAAGCCTGGGGCCCAGCTGCTGGGAGGCAGGAGACTGTCTAGAAGTTAGCAAGGGGTGGAAGCAGCCGCACTCTGCTGGGAGAGAGTTTTCTTCTCTCCCCTGTCCAAGAGCTGGCTTAGGCCTAAAGCAGGAGATAGAAATGTGTATCGTGCAGCTTCCCTACATACGGCTGGGAGCCAGGGACGCTGCGGGGCCTTTCTGAGTCCTGCTGAGCCCGTGGCCTCAGTGATATCTCGGGGCCTGAATGCCACGTGCTCGATTCACATACAAAATCCTTCCTTTGTCACTCCGAAGTGTGCTGCCTTTCCTTGGGCTTGAACGCCCACTAGGCCTTGCTCTACGGAAGGGGGTGGATGGGTGTGTGCAGTGGTTGTCTGCTGGGCCTGGCAGTACTTTGTTGTCTTCTTCGTTTCTGCCACACTAATTACACCCAACTCTCCAGTCTCATGTCTCTAATCAAAGGACTTCTTTGTCTCTGAACACCTTCTCGCTTTGCCCTATTCTGCTGGAGATGCTGGGACCAGCACGGTACATGGTGTGCCCGGTGCACACGGACCATTCAGTCACAGAATGGCAATTAGAGTATTTTCAGTACATGCTTCTAGCCCATGTTCTGCAATTCTGAGCTAGCGTCTTGTGGTGCCAAACTGGGGACTTGCTGTGGAAGTAAGATGCTGTTTGGATTAGGGGCTCGGGTACTGGCTCAGTTATTATGCAGTAAAGGTAGGGTCACGTACAGGCAAAGCTGTCTGCGCTGCGGCCGCCGAACGACCCCAGGGAGAACGCCAAGATGGCAAAGCCTGGCTGGTCAGCCCCAGGGAGACTCCTCCAGGCATAGGAAACGTGTTTCAAACTCCTCGACAGCAAGAGAGGTGAGAGGAGAGCGACGGGCTCGGTGGGCTTAGCGGACGTGCGGATGGTGAAAATGGAAGAAGGGTGCAGCCATCAGAAGGGGCACTGGCATGGGAGCTCACTTGGATTTGGTTCTGCATGAACCCAGGAGCAGTAGATGTGAAATTTATGCTTGTAACCAATGATCTCTCTGGGCATCTGGCTAAAGTCTTGACATTAGTGTTTCTACTGCAGCTAGTGAGTCTCTCAAAGGCTACATCTATACCGTAGCCTTCTTGCGGAAAAGCATATGCAAATGAAGCGTGGCGTGGCATATCGCCGTGCTTCATTTGCATAAGTAATGAGCAGCCGTTTTTACACAAGAGGCGTTTGCGCAAAAATGAGTGGTGTAGATGGCTCCTTTTTGCACAAACCCTCTTGCGCAAGAGCCAGACAGACGTAGCCAAAGGGTCAGAGAAGGATCAGAAACAAGCGGCAACTCGTGAAGTGTCTCTGATGAGAGCTGCTTTAACAACAGGAAACTGCCCGAAAACGAGAAACCGTGAAATCTTCATGTGGACATTGGCATTATCTTCGTGCATCCATTGCATGGCAGGGCCCCGGGCCGTGCACTGCCATCACACTGGGGTTCACGGTCTTCTCCCCTCATTTGAAAACCCATCAGAATTGTCACCAAGAACCCTGCTCTTCGCAAGCCAGGGAGGGAAAAGTTAAGAACTAAAGCAAAAGCTTCAGAGGGGGCCGAGTTGGTCTGTAACAGGATAAACTTACAAAACAACTGATGGGCTGGTAGCACTTTACAGACTAACAAAACCTGTCGATGGGATCATGAGCTTTTGTGGGCACAGCCCAATGCTTCAGATGACTGGAGTGCTTGGCTGATTTAATGATAGAGATGTAGCCGTGTTAGTCTGGGGTAGCTGAAGCAAAATGCAGGACAATGTAGCACTTTAAAGACTAACAAGATGGTTTATTAGATGATGAGCTTTCGTGGGCCAGACCCACCGGTCTGGCCCACGAAAGCTCATCATCTAATAAACCATCTGGCTGATTTAAGTGAGAAGAGAGTCAGGGTAACTAGATATAGTTACTGACTTCAGGGGGCAGACGCCTAATTCAGAGACATTGCAGCCTGATGAATGTTACTGGGTTGGTTTATTTACTCCTTCCAGGTCTAAGCATGTCTCCAGGCTGATAGCTACAACTGCTCTGGGCTGTAAAAGATCTCCGGGAAGGAGGGGACTGCGCAGGCTAACGCTGGCCTCCAGGCATAAGCCGAGGCCTGTGGGATGAGAATGGTCCTGGTGGCCGGCCAGCACTCACATGGGAATACAGCAAAGCGCTTGGCCGACGGTGCCCTGGCTGTACCATGTAACATCCCGTTTAGGTGGACGGTTCCCCATTGCTGTAAGCAACACACGAGCCACATTCCAGGGCAGCACAAACCTAGCGCCCTAAATCCAAAGCAGCGGGTAGGGGCTGCAGGGAGCTGCTGCAGCTTCCCCGGTGCTGTGAGCGAATCTGCTGTCTCTGCTGTAAAAAGCACCACAAGGGGGCAAAATAACAACGTGGCCAAGAAACCTGAAGCCTGGAAACTGAAAGCAGGGTGCTAACAACGCCCCAATTCCTGTCTCTACAGCCCCGAGCTGGCCAGCAGGCTGCTCTTGCCGCAGGCAGACACACTGGGGAAGTCAAACCAGTGCCCAAATGTCACTTGACACTCTCTTCCTCCCACTGCTTCCTCTGGAAAGCCCCAGCCTGCGTGCAGGAGCGGGGCCATTTCCCTGAGCCCACGGCCAGTCGCCCCGTGCGTACCTTGAAGTCTCCGTTGTGCACCACGTACAGCGGTCTGAAAAAGTGAGCAGGGTTGGGGATGAAAACCCCCAGCTTCTTCCAAACGCTGGAACAGAAGAGAAGAGCAAGCGTTCAGTGCCCGGCACGTGCTGCAGGCACAAGCTGGAGGGGCTCTGCTAAGAAGATGGATGGATCTGCCCTCGCCCTTCTATCGCTCGGGGTGGGCCAGGCCTTCGACGCGTGTGGCCTGCAGGCTGGGCGCTTGGAGCCCTTCCTCCCATAATGCTTAGCATCCCCCCTCCCGAAATGCTCAGGCCCCAGGCTTGTCCCAGCTTCTGCCCCGGAACTTTGTGGTCCTTGCCTCCCACTCCCCGTGGTCTCCCAGGCCCGGGCCCCCTCGAGCCCTCCCGTGGCTACAAATCCCAGGTGCTTCCTTCACCCAGCCAGAGTCTGGAGATCACAGCAGCTTGGCCGGGGCTCTGCTCCCACGCGCCAGGCCGGGTCTGTGTGAACGAATTAGCCGTGCCCCACGATCGGGCCGGGCCACGTGAGCTCCACCAGGGGGCAGAGTGCCTCAGACAGGCCATGGCCCCAGGCAGCGGGGTTCTGAGCCCAAGCACAGCCCCGTCCTGTTCAGCCGGAGGGGACCGGGCACCAGGGCGGGTACCAATGGCAGCGGGCGGGGTCACAGCCAGCCAGAGCAGATGCTGAGCAGCGCGCCCTCACCTCTGGTGCATGGTCAGGAACACGGTGACCGGGACGGCGAGCAGCGCCAGGGCGAGCAGCAGCACCAGCCATCGCATTTCGGGACTCTCTGAGGGCGAAGCAGCCGGGTTAGTCAGTTCTCGCCCGGCAGTGCCACTTCTGGCTAAAGATGCCAGAGCAAGGAGAGGTCAAGGACAGAGGGGTGGAAAGGTGCCGCGCTTGCTACGTCCAGAAGCCGTTTCCATGGGCGCTGTGACTGGCCTGCGGCACAGCCCTCTGGCGCTGGGGTCCGGCACGTCCCCTCCTTGGGAGTCCAGCTGGTGGCATTGCCATGGCAGGAGGGTCGACAGCACAGTCTGACCGCAATCTGGCCCTTCTGTCCATGCTGCAAAGGTCGCCCTTTCCATAAGGAAACCCGGGGACACAGAGCTTACTGTGCAAGGCTGCTCCATGGACAAAGGGTCCTTAGCACCTCCCGGGGGCAGCACTGGGCTCCAGGAGTAGGTGAGGACGAGGCAGCCCGTGGCCTGGGATGCGGGGGAGGGACAAGGGAGCTAACTTCCCAAGCAAGGGGGAGTTGGTGGTTTTTGTCAAGCTCCACACTCCAGAGAAACATTTTTCACTCTAAAATAATGAGCATAAGCAGCTCGCAAAAGGTTCTGCGGCCAATTCTAAAGCATATGGTCACAGTCCACCCATAGACTCCCTCTGTCCTCTTCCTACAGCACAGGGCAGAAAGCACCCTAGCGACCCTCGGGGAGATTGCAGGAAGCCCTTTGCCCTGATCCCTCTGGTGGAAGTCCCCTAGCCATTGGCCAAATACGCCACTTGCATGGCTCTGTGCGTGGGCATGAGTGCTGTGCACAAGTCAGAAGCGCCTTGCCTGCTGGGAAAGCCGGATTGCTGGGCCAAACCCCAGTGCCAAAGCTGGATATAAACTTCCCCAGGTGAAAGTCAGAGCCCTGAACACGAGCGGGAATGTCGGACCCCGCACTGCCGGGTGGATCCTGTTCATCCCAGGCACCATCTACAGAACTGGTCAGAGCCCGTCTAGGTACATCCACCCGCCACGTGAAACCCGAGGCAGGGAGCCTCAGAGCTCAGCTGGGCTCGAACCTGCCATGTCGACACTGGGCTCAGGCTGCAGTGGGGGGCCTGAGCCCTGGGAATGGGGCACGCGAGAGCCCACTTGGCTGCACAGAGGTTTTAGCACTAGCATGAGCCTTGCAAGGCCGAGTCTGCGGCGCTCTGAGCCGTGCTGCCGTGGGTTTTATAATGGAGCCCAGCTGTGCCCTCCAATCTCACGGTCTAGTCCCTACTGTAAAGCCAACGCTCAGATCACAGCAGCATCAGGTCATAACCCAACCCCCGTCCACCTCAACACACCCTGCCGAGGAAAGGTGGCCATGGCGGCATGCCCAGCTCGGGCAGACCAGTTCAGGGGCTTGGTCGCTCTGCTGGAGAGCTGGACAATCGCAGAGCAGTAGAACTGGAAGGGGCCTCGAGTCCAGTCCCAGCCCTCATGGCAGGACAAGCACCGTCCAGACCATCCCCGCCAGGTATCTGCCATGGTGGAGATTCCACAACCTGCCTAGCCAACGTATCCCAGTGTTTCACCCCCGACAGGTGGGACGTGTTTCCTAGTGTCCAACCTCAACCTCCCTGGCTGCAGTTTAAGCCCCTTGCTCCTTGTCCTGTCCTCCGAGGCCAAGGGGACAATTTGTGACCCCCTTTTAGGTGCACAGTGCAATGGACTCAGCTGTGGCCATGGCCCTGGCTCTCGTTCTAATGAACCAGTTTCTGGAGCTGCTCTCTAGCGTCAGACGGGAGGCAAAGGGGCTGATGCTCTGATTACCCTCCGGTTCAGTTTTCAGGGTCAGCGGGTGACTCCACTCGCTCCAGAAGCCCAGGTACTCGGAGCCAGGCCTGGGCTTAGCCCGCACTTGGAACTCATAGACTGTGTCCCTCTGGAATTCCAGCGGCAGGAGCACCACGCTTCGCGTGTCCTCCGGGATCACTTTGCTCTTCTGAGTCTGGGAAAGGGAAACACCGCGGCAGCTTTTAGCAGAAGTGGAGGCTTTGGTCCCAGTCCCCACCTGCTCCCCACCCCCAAAGGTTCTGTTTCTGACTAAACGTGTTGGTTTCAGTATTAGACTGACAAACTGTAACCTTTTAGCACCCTCTGATCCCCGCCTGCCTACCAATGGTCCCCCACGGGCGACAGGCACAAAATGGAGCTGGCCTGGTAGCGCCCCAGCTCTGCGCTAGCTGGCCCATCCGCAGGCAGGAGGCGAGGTTCTGTCGCACAGCCCACAGCTAGAGAGGTCTGAATGGCCCTGTGCTGCCAGCTGAGAGAGCCCTTGCGGGGGCCCCCAGGGAAACGGGACGTCCTTCTCTACAAGCTGCAGGCAGGAGCAGGGGTGCAGGCGGCGGAGGCACAGGGGCATGTACAGGATTCAGAGGCCCCAGATTTCCCCCTTGTAGCTGGCCCCGATTCCCAATGACTCTCCACACACAGGGGCACAGAGGGGCATTGTGGGGGGAGCGCTGTGCCTGCTGTTCTCCCACCCAGGCTGTGTGAGGGGAGGGGAGCGCAGGAGAGCAGCGAGCTCCAGCCTCAGGCCCAGAGCTTCTTCCCAGCCCCAGCAGGTGCTCGGCGGCTAGCCCCAGCTGTGCGGGGGCAGGGAGAGGATGATGGGACTTCCCTTGCAGGGAGCCATCAGGGTCAGACCAGAATCTCCCCTGGCTCCAAGGAGCTCTGCACCTCCTGCCCCACTTCCTGCCCCCGTCACCGCAGGAGAGCAGCGAGCTCCAGCCTCAGGCCCAGAGCTTCTTCCCAGCCCCAGCAGGTGCTCGGCGGCTAGCCCCAGCTGTGCGGGGGCAGGGAGAGGATGATGGGACTTCCCTTGCAGGGAGCCATCAGGGTCAGACCAGAATCTCCCCTGGCTCCAAGGAGCTCTGCACCTCCTGCCCCACTTCCTGCCCCCGTCACTTAGCTACAGGGGAGCTACCCCCATCCCCCAACCTCTGTGCATCCGGATCCCCCCCAGAACCTCCAGCTGAGCCCCCTACACTTGAGCTGTCAATCTGCTGAGCCTCCCTATGGCATCTGGAGCCCACCCCCACCCTGATCCCCCTCGAAGCCTCAAGCCCCTGGGCTCTCCAAACAGACTCAGACTCCACTGGTGGCTGAAGTCGAGGGGCCCCAGCCTGTCCCTCTCTCCAGGGAGCATCGGGCGGATGCGGAGCCATGCAGCTATGCCAGGGTCTGGATCTCTGCATAAGGGCCCTAGGGCCTCCTGTCCTGTACCAGTGTCAGTGTCACGAATGGGAACCTCCCTGGGGCTGATGCTGATGGAATGGCCGGGGCTGATCTACACGGCTGCAGCCCAGGAAACAGCCAACCCCCGACAGGGCAGCAGAGAGGGTCTAGTGGGCCAGTCCCTGGGACCTGCAGCTCCAGGCTGACAGCTGTGCAAGCATCTTCCTGAGACGTCCCCCTCTGGACTGGGCCCTGGACAGCAGAAGCCGGCAGCAGCCCCCTGGCCCTGGCTCCTGCCCCAACATGCTGCTGGCTTAAGCTGACAGCACTCGGCGGGGAGGGAGCAGACCCTATTTCATACTTTCATTGCCCTGCCAGGCCAGCACCCAGCCAAGCAGCTGTGGCTAACCCTGTGGGGGCTGCAGCATTGGCCTGGGGTGCGACTCATCCAGCGGAGGAGAGGCCTGAGCTCCAAGTCTTGCCTATGAAAGTCAGAGCCCCTCAGACACAAGGAGAAATGATCCCAGTCTCCATCCAGCGCCAGCCAGGCAGGCCAGTCAAACGAAGACACCGTGTGCACCCCGAGGACTCCTTCCTCTCCTGCCCCGCCAGAGCTCAGCACTGTTACTTTACAGAGGCTGGGCCTTCTCCTGCTTTGGCTCATGCCTGCACACCTGTTCTGCTGGTGTGGTACGTACACTCCCATCGGTACCCTCGCTTCCCTCTCACCTCCCAGGTATCGCTCTTCTTCTTATACCGCAGCTCGTACTGCAGCTCGTTATCCAAGTTGTAAAAGACCGGAGAGTTCCGATAGATGGTGTCCCAGGAGATGTTGTATCCCTCCGAAAGCACGGCCGTCAGGTTGAACGGCGGGTACGGCTTAACTGGGGTGCAAACACAGAAAGAAAATTGTGCTGATTTGCACGGTCCTGAGACCCTCTGCTCCGGCTGGGTGCAGGGGACGGGAATGGTCTCTGACAACAGCACCCGTCACTTATTGCTCATGCCCTTGCAAGGCCGTCTGCTTTCCGGTAACCCTCTGACACGTGCCTCGACGCTCCTTACCTGAGGCTCCATTTCGGAACCAAATACTGAAACTCCACCAGTAGGTTGGCAGCCCCTTGTGGCCTGTGTGTGTCTAGTTGGGCACCCAGGAACCTCGTGGTTTATTGCAGGATTCAGGGTTCAGCAACGTGCTGTGTGAACAAGCTACACCAGCATCCACCCTGACTGTCCTGTCATGAGGACCAACTCCCCTGTACAAGAGGCAACTCAGGAAAGAGGAAGGTTTCTAGGGGTATTTGATGCCACCTGACAGGGCAAGAACTTTATGTTGCTCAGATTTCCCACTGGAACGGCTGCTACTGGGCGTGTTTGTGACACGTCCGATGGAAGCGACCCTTCACGGTCATGTCTGCTTCTGGCTGAATAACTAGCATTGTGGCTATTTAGACATAGAGCAGATCTGAGGCGGGAACAAGTCACCTGCTACTCCAGGGACACGCGATATGCAGGGACCGACACATGCCCCCCACTCCAGCCTGGGCAGAGGGCCAGCCTTATGCAGCAGGCCCCCCGCCTGGCAGCATGCACGCACAAACCCCTAGGCACTCCCATGTGACCCAGAGCGACGTGTGCCCAGAGGCACCGGTACTGTTCTGGCTCAGATGAAATTCACTGCATGCTTTGGAAGTTGTGTACTGCCCATCGGCCAGCTTTGTCACATCTACCCTGAACATGTCGTCAGAATGGAAATACTTCAGGTCCATGCAGCATGCGTACTGAGTGTGAGTAGCATTTCTGGACACCTGGAGCAGACTGCAGGAGCGCTCCGAAATGTCCATCTCTTCTTCCTGTTCTGGCTCAGATGAAATTCACTGCATGCTTTGGAAGTTGTGTACTGCCCATCGGCCAGCTTTGTCACATCTACCCTGAACATGTCGTCAGAATGGAAATACTTCAGGTCCATGCAGCATGCGTACTGAGTGTGAGTAGCATTTCTGGACACCTGGAGCAGACTGCAGGAGCGCTCCGAAATGTCCATCTCTTCTTCAACAAGCCTTTAAACATCAAACACAGCCCCCTCAGAGAATCACGGGACTGGAAGGAACCGCGAGAGCAGATTCCACAACCCCCTGGCAATTGATTCCAGTGTTTCACCAGCCTGACAGGCAGGAAGTTTTTCCTAATGTCCAACCTAAACCTCCCTTGCTGCGGTTTAAGCCCCTTGCTTCTTGTCCTGCTCTGAGAGGCCAAGGAGAACGATTCTTCTCCCTCCTTGTAACAACATGTTTTAATGGGGCTAGTTTGTGATTTGTGAAACATATAGGGCTGGCCCGAGCCATTCTTGCACCCCATGCAGTAGGCGCGCAGCGCATGCATGGCCCCTCCCTGGTTGATGTGTATGGGGCACCACGCCCCCAGGCATCCGGGGCATGCGTGGTCCCACCCCCATGCAGCAACCTATGGGGGGCGCCTGATGCAGCGCCCCTTACCACGTCAATCAGATGCCCCCCATAGGTTGGCACCTCGGGTGGCTAGCCCCCTTAATCCGGCCCTAGTAACACACGTAACTAAAATGAGTTAGCAGAGAAATTCATGAAAAGCAAAAGTGGCACAATTAGGTTTTTAAATGGAAATTCACTTCTGAATGCCAACAAATACTTGCAAAAAAATCCCTCTATCTACTCAGCTCTAAGCAGAGTTATGAGAGATCTTGGGAATACAGTGAGCAGGAAACAGCCCTGAAGTGTGGTAGGTAAGGGGAGATGGGACATTTCAAAGTCAATAGATGGGGTGAAACAAAAAACAGGACTATGCAGCACTTTAAAGACTACCAAGATGGTTTATTAGGTGATGAGCTTTCGTGGGCCGGACCCACTTCCTCAGATCAAATAGTGAAAGAAAATTGTCACAACCATATATACCAAATGATACAATTTAAAAAATGAACACGTATGTGTTCTTGATCTTATATTCCTGCGCATCCAGAAATATAATTTATGCCATCATGTGCCGAAAGTGTCCGTCTGCTATGTACATTGGGCAAATGTCTCAGACACTTCGCCAGAGGATCAGTGCCCACAAAACAGATATTAGACAGGATCACAAAGAAAAAACAGTTTCTTGCCATTTCAACCAGAAAGGACATTGTCTCAACGACTTGATTACCTGCATCCTGCTTCAAAGGCCTTTTCAGACTACACTTGAAAGAGAATCCTCTGAACTGTCATTCATGCTTAAATTCAACACTTTACACTTAAGTTTGAATAAAGACTCTAATTATCTTACCCATTACAAAGATAGCTTCCCCAATTATCACCTCTAATACCATTAGCTCACAGACATTTACCCCCCCCCCATCCCCCTTCTGTTCTGAAATGTGATTTGTCCTTTTCATATGTGTTCATTTTCTTAATTGTATCCTTTGGTATATATGGTTGTGACAATTTTCTTCCACTATTTGATCTGAGGAAGTGGGTCTGGCCCACAAAAGCTCATCACCTAATAAACCATCTTGTTAGTCTTTAAAGTGCTACATTGTCCTGTTTTTTATTCAGCTCCACCAGACTAACACGGCTGCATTTCTATCACTAATAGACGGGGTGTTAGAGGTTACTCTCCAGGCTAGCTACAGCTGCACGGTCTCTTTCCTTCAGGGCCGTTCCTACAAACGAGCCCTCAGGGGCGGATATAGGGCAGGGCGAACGGGGTGGCCGCCCCAGGCCCCGCGCTTAAAAAAGCCCCGCGCATGCGCCGTGGCAAAGGGGGGGCCCCGCGGAGTTATGCTGCCCGGGGCCCTGGAAAACAGTCATCTGCCCCTGCGAGCCCTACGCGGATGCAAAGGCAGAGGAGGGTCAAGGGTTACACTAGCAGGGGGGGCCCAAGGACACAGATCTGGCCAGAAATAAAGCCATATGCTGGCAAAGGGTGGGCCACAGCATTATCCACATCTGAGTCCTAACACTGCTCCAAGCCCAACAGCAGCAGGGCCAGTCTCAGGCCTGGGAGACGGAGGAGCATGCATGGCGGGAGGCAGTGAAGTGTGTGTATTGGGGGGCGATACCGCCCTGCTATGGCCCGGGGGCAACGGCTTTCACAGGCTCCTGGGCAAGGCTCCGCACCCCCAGCAGGAGGGGGGCTTCAGGTGGCAGAGTCGGGGCAGAGAGCCTGCCAAGCCGGCTGCAGCACGGGGCTGGACCTTCCCCCAGCCCTCAGCACTAGAGCAGCGTGCAGCGCCCAGGCCCCTCTCAACTGGGGCAACTGCCTCCTTTCCCCTCCCTGCCGGGAGCCGGGTTACGGAAGCCAGAAATGGGAAGTCCCCTCGAGTGCGGGGGAGTGAGTGCGGTCGGCGGTGAGCCCAGAGGCCTGAGCAGGAGAGCGGCGCGCTCTAGCCCCTGGCAAACGGCTGCAAATGTAAGCCGTGTCCCCGGCTCGTGAGTACCTACCACGTGGCCGTGAGGTTGTACAAAGTCCCACTGGGCTCAGTTTTCTGGACACACGTCAGGGTCTGCACATAGTCCACAGAACAAACCAGATCTTCACAGCACGTAGCTGCACGTGCAGGGGGAGAGAATAAGGCAACAGTTTCAGTGCCAGACCCAGGGCCCCTCATCCGCACTCTCTGTATTCTATCATTTTGACAAAGGCTTTAAGAACATTTTAAATCAGCTGCTACAAAATTCCTAAGTCTTGTCAGGGCTGCGCCAGCCATAAGTTCTGCTTCTCTCCCTGGGCAGAGAAGAAGGAGCTGCCCTTTTGCTTTGCTGGCCGTGAAACTAGTGCTTGTTATTTTAAACAGCAGAGTCATGTACTTCCCCTCCCCTCCCCCAAGAACTGCACTCCCTGCAGCACCTCTGTGCACTTTCTCATCTGGACTGTACCAAGACATGGCTGTCTTGGTACAGTCGGGCTGCTAAAACCCGCGCAGTGTAGCACAGACATACCCCGAGTGACATGGCTGTCTTGGTACAGTCAGGCTGCTAAAACCCGCACAGTGTAGCACAGACATACCCCGAGTGACGTGGCTGTGTTGGTACAGTCGGGCTGATAAAACCCGCGTAGTGTAGCACAGACATACCCCGAGTGACGTGGCTGTGTTGGTGCAGTCGGGCTGCTAAAACCCGCGCAGTGTAGCACAGACATACCCCGAGTGACGTGGCTGTCTTGGTACAGTCGGGCTGCTAAAACCCGCGCAGTGTAGCACAGACATACCCCGAGTGACGTGGCTGTGTTGGTGCAGTCGGGCTGCTAAAACCCGCGCAGTGTAGCACAGACATACCCCGAGTGACGTGGCTGTGTTGGTGCAGTCGGGCTGATAAAACCCGCGCAGTGTAGCACAGACATACCCCGAGTGACGTGGCTGTGTTGGTACAGTCGGGCTGCTAAAACCCGCGCAGTGTAGCACAGACATATCCCTGAGTCTGTTGTTTCTCCCATGAGGTTACACTCTGCTCTCCAGGAGCAGCCTAAGGGCATCAATCTGCAAGGGTTGGTCGTGCTTCGAGCAGGGCCTTGGACTCGAAGCCCCCGGAGCTCTCTTCCAGCCCTTGTCTCCAATGCTGTGGCTCCCGAAAGAAGAGGGGGCACTGACTGGAAGGGAGGGCAGCCGGGAGCCCCACAACACCCATCAGCACAGGAAACGCTAATAATTAGCTGACGGGGGGTGGAGACCCCAGTTCACTGGGAGTGCACAGGGGACTAGCCATCAGCTAGTGCAGCAGCGCAGTCCAGCTCCTGAGTGCTCATCTTGACTCTGGTACCAACTTACTTCGTGGTCTTGATCAAGCTTCTGCCCCACTTTGCCCCTCAGTGTGCCCTTTTGTAGCGTGGGGATGCTCCACTGTTCTCTATTGTCTAGTGCTGAGCTAGGAAGCTCTGCCTCTGTTGTGTGTACGAACAGCACCTAGCACTGATCCGTGGCTGAGGCCCTACCACAGTACGGCAGAGGGCAGGTAAGTGCGGAATAGTCTATTCCAGTCATCCCGCTGCTGTAGCCCTCCTGGACTAAGCTCGGGCCTGCGAGGCATCATCAGAACCTTGGAGCTGAGAACTGGGCATCGGAACCCTGATTCAGAGGCCATCCATGGCTGTCCTGGCGTGGCAGCGCTCCGATGAAGCCGCCAGGGGACTGGCTATCTGTAAAATGCCACCCCATTGCGGGTTCTCCTCAGGGTTGCAGCACGCCCTAAGGGGAAAGCTCCTGAGGAGATGGAGAAGGAGCATCGCAGCAAGGCAGGGAATGCTTCTTGGCCCACCTCTACAGCTGATGCCTAGGGCGTCATGCCATGTCACCCTCACACCTGTGCGAGGGGCCTGCAGCTCATCCCTGTGGCCAGGTGGGCAGGATAGTGCGGCTCGGGGGCTTCCGGGTTGTCCTAATCATACCCAGACACCCCGGGCATGGGGCACCATCCCCCGGAGCAGCAGACACCCCTCCCAGAGAGAGGAGGAGTTTGCTCTACTACAGCCTGAGCTGGGAGCCAGCTGGCTTTTAGCACAGGCAGGAGAGGCTCATGCACTAAGCTCCAGTGGTCCCAGATCTGGTTCCGCCTGCCGGTGTTACATTGACTCGACTGTGAAGTGAGGTGGGGCTCCATTTAGAAACAGAAACAGAAAATCAAATCCCCCATCTGGTTCCTGCAGATGCTATTTGTTCTGCTTGTTTCCAGTCGAAGGGCTGTTTTCGAGAAGTCAGCTCTGGCTCGGTTACAGGGTTAGAGTGGCTCAGCTTCTGGGGCCCAGGCAGGTCAATTCAAGGCTCTCCATTCCTAGCCTGCCTGTGTCACTGCAGGAGGCGGGGGTTGAAATTGCTCTAATCACATGGCTGACGAGACGCCATTTCTGCTGAAATACCCCCAGCCCTGCATCGCAGGGTCCCTCTGCCCTGGAGCTGGGGGTAACTCCCAGGGGGAAGAGAGACCTGCATGAGCCCTGTTCAAGCACAGGGACAGCAGGTGTAGACCTGCCGCCCCAGGCCACATAGGGCTGACTGCCCTGAGCATGTGTCGGACCTCCTGCACAGCGTGACCCAAGCACCTCCGGATGCCAAGTGGCAGAGGGCAAGGGGTCCATGGGGCACTGGGATCCCCTGGGTTCACCAGAAGAGCTCACGTGAGGTCGGGTCTGGACCCCACTGCGGCTCTTCACTGCGACGGTTGGAAGGGTGTTTCTGGCACTAGGGGAGGAGCTACGTAGATGTGCGCCAGGGGGTGCTAGGTCTGCTGTTAGCACAGGTCACCCCCATGTACCATCTCTCCAGGCCAGTGTGGGCCGGAGCGGATCCCAGGAAGAACCGGCTGCTGCTAGCAGCCCACACACGGCCGCTTTACGTCCTTGTCTCTTCGCCTCCCTCCTCTCCATGCTGACAGGGGGAGGAAAAGGGGCAGCTGGCCAGGCCCATGCAGCAGTCTGTTAGCACACCAAGGCAAACGCTAATGAAGAGCTGGTGGGAAGTCCCAAAGGAAGAAGTGAATAGCGAGGAGGGCGCTAGGGGATATGCCCGTTTTCAGTGAAAATGGAAGGTCTGTTCTGGTATTTGGGGGTGCAAAGAAAATGGAAGATCTGTTCTGCTATTTGGGGGTGCAAAGAAAATGGAAGATCTGTTCTGCTATTTGGGGGTGCAAAGAAAATGGAAGATCTGTTCTGCTATTTGGGGGTGCAAAGAAAATGGAAGATCTGTTCTGCTATTTGGGGGTGCAAAGAAAATGGAAGATCTGTTCTGCTATTTGGGGGTGCAAAGAAAATGGAAGATCTGTTCTGCTATTTGGGGGTGCAAAGAAAATGGAAGATCTGTTCTGCTATTTGGGGGTGCAAAGAAAATGGAAGATCTGTTCTGCTATTTGGGGGTGCAAAGAAAATGGAAGATCTGTTCTGCTATTTGGGGGTGCAAAGAAAATGGAAGATCTGTTCTGCTATTTGGGGGTGCAAAGAAAATGGAAGATCTGTTCTGCTATTTGGGGGTGCAAATAAAATGGAAGAAAAGGAAGAAGTGAATAGCGAGGAGGGCGCTAGGGGATATGCCCGTTTTCAGTGAAAATGGAAGGTCTGTTCTGGTATTTGGGGGTGCATTCCTTCCGGACAAGCTGCCAGGGGCCTTGCTCTTACAAGAAAAGAACTCAGCCCAGCTGGTTGAAGATGTGGGTGAAAGTACTTGAGGTAAGTGGTCTAGTAGGAGGCAGGAGGTGCCTTGTTAGTTAAGGTTAGCCTCCAGACAGCGGGTTAGGATTTTGTTTTATATGTTGTAACAGTTGGTTTTCAATAGTCTCATTCTCTTTCACTTGAATTTCTGTTATTTGTAATAAACTTGCTCTTGTTCTTCCTATGGAGGTAGTTCAGTGCTGGGTGTGGTGCAAAGTGGTGATTGTGACTTGAATCTTACAAGCAGGCGGGTGCTGTCGTCTTTGGGGAACCACGAATTGAAGTGCTCCGCGAGGGTTCTGCGGACCGCGGGCTGAGTGCTCCACCAACAGCACCCTGGGGACTTGCAGGTGGTAGGTGCCTATTACTATCCTGTGCACAAGAAGGGTCTGCAGAGGTCTGGCAGGCCGGGCTTATGCTGCCAGAGGCTGGCGATTTCAGGGAGCTGATCCACAGCAGGCCCAGACAAGACTTTCACTCCCTAAGGACAGGCAGCAGTGAGGTGCCTCAGCTCTGGGCAGCCCGTCTGTGATGTTCTAGCTTGAGGAGAGCTAGGGAATTACACCCCCAGCTTGGAGTGCAGACATACCCCAAAAGCCCAGCAAGTGGCTGTATCATTATAAGCAGGAACAGACAAACAGGTTGGGACAAAATAAAATGGAGCTTGAACCTTTAGCCAATTAGCTTAAGCCCCAGATATCTTGAGCCTTGGCCTTTTACTAACATACACTGACCCATTTCAGCCAATGAGCAGTCCTGTGGCGCCTTAGAGATGAACACGCTTATTAGGGCACGAGCTTTCAGGGTAAAACCCACTTCATCAGATGAACTGGAGCGGAAATTACAGAATCCGGGGTATATAGAACAGAAGAAGAAGTTGCCTGTCAATGGTAGGACCAGTGTTAATGAGGCTAATTACGTTATTTTAGTAAAGAAACAGATCAATAGAGCCAGATGAGAACCCAGAAGTCACCTACTCCAAGACAGATCCAACAAGGAAAATCACAGAACATCACTGACCGCCACCTACAGCCCCAGGCTTCACCTCTCCAGTGCATCATTGACAATCTACAACCTAGCCTGGAAATTGACCCCTCCCTGTCACAGGCCTTGGGCAGACAGGTCAGTCCCTGCCTGCAGACAGCCCCCAGCCTGAAGCAAATACTTTCCAGCAGCCACATGCCACAACACACATACACTCACCCAGGAACTTCCCCTCCCCCCCCCCGCAACAAACCCTGTTGCTAACTCTGTCCACCCATCTACACAAGCAACACCACCATAGCACATAACCAAATAAGCCACCACATCAGAGGCTCGTACAACTGCACATCCGAAAATGTGATCTGTGCCATCAAGTGACAGCAACGCCCCTCTGCCATGGATATTAGCCAGTCCAGAGAGTCTCTGCATCAAAGGGTAAATAGATGCAAGTCAGACATCAGGAATGGTACCACTCAAACTTGTAGCGGAACATTTTAACCTCCCTGGATATTCAGTAATGGATTTAAAAATAGCCATTTCTACAAAGGAATGTTACCACCCGCTCACAGAGGGAGACAGCTGACCTGGAGTTCATTTACAAGTTCAATACTATCGACTTAAGCCTGAATAAGGATCTTAACTGGTTAACTAACTACAAAGGCAATTTCCCCACTTTTGATATTTGACTCTGCATATCAAATGCTGTGAATGTGACTTATCCACCCTGAGTTAATTAGCCTCATTAACACTGGTCCTACAATTGACCGGTAAGTTCCTTTTCTTTTATATATTCCCTGGATTCTGTAATTTCCGCTCCAGTTCATCTGATGAAGTGGCTTTCACCCATGAAAGCTTATGCCCTAATGACTCGGTTCTTCTGCAAGGTGCCATAGGACTGCTCATTGGTTTTGCAGACTAACATGGCTATTCCCCTGAGGCCAGTTCAACATAGGCTTAAATAATGGCCAACAGAATAAGAAGCTTCGCGGATGTGAAAGTGTAGGAAAGAAATGTGGGAACTTACTGTGCTGAAGCAAAAGGAAGAAGGGAATTGCCTGGAGCTGCAATTTGTTCCTCATGCTTATCCCAGTTGGCCGTCCTGAAAAGCAAAACATGAGCTCAGCCCAGCCACCAAACAGTGAGAGAGACATGTTGGGAGCGTCACACCGCAGCGTGCCGGAGCTCACTAGTAACCCTACTACAACACCTGCATGCAGGCTACGCTAGAGTCCTTACTCTCTGCTGGGTGCCTACGGTTAGACGTGCCTTGGGACAGTGGGTGCTTGCACCCGCGTAGAGTCTGGTGGCAGGCCCTATAGAAACACAGCAGCCAGCTGGACAGCAGCTATGGGGACATGCGGGCATGGACAGTGTGCTGCTGACTGGGACAGGCTAGCCCTTCCTTTTGCTGAGGCCCAGCCACTTCCACATCACCTCCCCCCTGCCAGAGCCCCTGCCCCAGGCTAGCTCCTCCCGGCCCCAGAAATCCAGGAGGAGGGGCAGCGTGGCTGGAGCTAGGAGCCACCTCACAGAGAGACGGAGCTTTGCCGGGGGCCAAGCAGGAAGTAGAAAGGGGGATGCAGGGTGGAGGATGTTTGTGGAGGCCCAGCTCCCCCTAGTTTATGATACCTGCTCCCATGCAAGTGAGGCTGGTCTCCGTAGAGCCTCCTCCGTCATTTAAACAAGCCCTAAATATCCTGTCAACGAGCCCCAGGACAGTGGGAGGGCTCTGACCCTGCACACGGGACTGGAAAGCTGTCTGCATGGAGCAAAGGGCATGCAGGGCTGGGGCTGGACTGGATGACCTCCTGAGGGCTCTGCCAGCCCTGGGATTCTAGGGACACTGGGAACGCTCATTCACTCCAAGGAAAGGCTGTTCTGGCTGAAAGAGAATCTGTAGGAAAACCTTGGCTTTCAAAGAACAAGGCGACTGCTCAGATCTTTGGCTAAGACACTCTCATGCTCAACCAGTGGCACCAATAAGCCACTCTTCTGCTCAGCCATGAAATGCCAAGGCCACTGCTCTGAAGCAGCCCCCCGGGACGTGACCCATTCAGGCCCAGGCGAGTCTGCAAATGGCTAACATTTATGTGTATGCAAATACAGAGGTAGACACAGCAAGAGTGAAAGTCAACCCTGGCAGGTTTGGGTTGGCGCTCCCACTACCACGACCTGCCGCAGATCGCCCCTGCATAGCACTGCTGTCCCAAGGGGCGTTTGCAGAGGGTTTTACCCAGTGTTGTCAGACTGTGGGAGGGAGGCAAAGGCACCACGTGGCCTTGCCTTATTGTGACGCTGTCACTGAGGGGATGCAGGGCAAAGGCCACAGGTGGGAGGCCTGAGGTCTCTGCTGGCTAGAGAGGGCAGGCTCAGGTAGCTGGGCTGGGTCACACTTTGGCCACCCGGACCCTAACAGCGCAGGGCACGAAGCTGCTGCGGCCTGTGTCTTCCCCACGGCTCAGGGCTCTACGGGTCCCTGCATGGCGCCCTGTGCTCAGCAGGCCCCAGGCTCTGAAGCACACCCCGCACTCGATCATGCAGGGAGGAAGGCACTAACTGAGCGTTTCTAACCTGGGGAATATTCTTGTTCAAACACTTTCCAGGTTTACTCATCTAATGAAAGCAAAATAATTTGAGTCACCAGCAAAAAGCCCCTGTGTCTCCCGAGCTCGTTCAGAGGCTGCTCTCACTGAACCGTGGCCCCAGGGTGTGCTGGAGGCAGGGCCCATGCGAAGGGCAGGAGAAATCTCTCACACATGCCAGCCAGTCGGGGGGTCGCAGGAGGCCAGCCCAGCACGTCACTGGCACCGCCTTTCCAGTGGAGGCAACTGGCTTTTTCCATCAATTACATTGGCTCATTCAGCCTTGAGGTCCCTGGCCTGAGCAGGGCTCCGTGTGTGACTGGCTGGGCTGCGCTGCACAGGCTCCAGCAGGGCTGGCTCGAGCCATTCCTGTGCCCCGGGCAGCGGGCGTGCGACACATGCGCGCCCTGCCCCCGGCGTGCGGTGCCTGATGGGAGCTCTAGGGGGCGCCACACGGCTGGGTGCAGCGCCCCTTGCAGCTGCCATCAAGCGCCCCCCATAGGTTGGCGCCCGGGCAGCTGCCCAGCAACCCCCCCTTAATCTGGCCCTGGCTCCAACTAGGAGGCTGTCACGCTCCCTTTGAACATCCATTCACAGCTGACTTCAGGGCATCGTTCCCCACAGTCTGTCCCTGGGTCGCCTTGCACCAGCCGGTCCCTCGACAAATTCCCTTTCTTCCTTCAGCTCCTTGGACCTGTTGCCCCCTTGCTTTCTACGCAACGGTAACTGTCACTGCAGCTTGAACCTCTCTAGCCCAGCACCCTCGGGACCTGACTGGTGCCGAACCAGAGAATTTGCTGGACCATGGGAGGTCGATACTGTCTAGCAGCAACACCAGCACTTTCACTGCTCACTGGCCTTTTAGAAGACATTTGGGGTAATTTAGAGCTAAACAACAGCCCAGAACACTGAGAACCAGGGCTGGGAGCTGTAAACAAACTTTATGGGACCGCGGGAAACTTGGCCACACCCACAATAAACGACATCAACTCACTAAAGTCCTGCCAGACCATGGATGTTGCTGGACCAGAGAGGTTCAGCCTGTACTGGAATTTCTCCAGTTCTCTAAACGCTGGGCCACTGTCAGCCCTCTTCTTACACTAACCCTGAGCTCCTGACTTGCTCTTCTCCACCCCCACTGCCAATCTTGCCATTCGCAGCCACACTGAGAGCGGAGAAAGCTGCCCCCTCTCATCTCTCCCGTCACAGCTTCCCCCATGCGACAAGCACGCTGCTCTGGGCTCCTTTTCGGTCTCTCTCTCCTGGGCCCAGTGCAGCTTTGGCACTGAGGAAGCCTCCCCTGCCTCCACAAAGGTGCTGGTCTCGTTAGTGCTCTGCTGGACACTGCGCTGCAAGCACCATGGGGAGCCATTACTAGCTGCCTTCTGCCTCTTGTGCATCGTGTTGTTACATTAGCACCACTGCTGGGCAGTCCCTTGGCGCACAGCTCGCAACACACCACAGATCCCACTCTGTCTCCCACCGACGGGCCTTCACCAAACATGCCTCTTGCTTTGCCTCAGCTTCCTCCCACTATGCCTCAGACACAGGAGTGCTTCTCCGGAGACAGCTCCTCCAGGACCACGCCCTCTCGGCTGCCTCCTCCTCACAACTCCCCTTTGTCTCCAGTGCCTGTAACCTTCCCGTCTTCTCTCTTCCTGGGCTCTCTCTTTCCTGCAACATGCCCTGGCTTATCGCCCTCTGGGTCCCTTCCCCAGGCAAACCACTGCCTGGATTCCACCTCTGCTGAAATGTTTTTGGCTCTGCTCCCCTTGACTGCTTCAGCCCCCTTCACTGTGGCTCGCCAACATCCCCACTCTCTGGCGCGCACGGCTGAGGAGGTTGTGGAGTCTTCATCTCTGGAGATATGTAAGAGTGAGTTGGCCAGACACCTGGCAGGGACGGTCTAGGTGGTGCTGGGTCCTGCCATGAGGGCTGGGACTGGACTCGATGCCTTTCGAGGTCCCTTCCAGTCCTAGTGTTCTGTGATTCTATGGATTGCTGCTTCCTGCCTTGGCAGATGCACAAGGGAGCCAGTCTTACATCGCCATCACCTTCAAGCAGCTCTGTTAGTCCCACCTCAAAACTGCTCCCCTAAAATCACTGGTAGCTTTGCTCCAGCTGACCCTACTGGACTTCTCCTTTCCCCTTTCCACTCCATCTGCCCAGCCAATACAAGCTCCATGTCTACTTCCCCAAACCAGCCAGCTGTCCCTTGCCCCAGTCTTCTCCTGTGCGTCTCCTCCCCGGCTCAGAGACCATTCAGAGAAAAGCATCAGAAAGATCCAGGGCTGGAGGGCCTGAGGGAAGAGGAAGGAGTCGAACATGCTGCTCTCCTCTAGCCGGGCTACAGATGAGTACGTGGGGTGAGATACAGGCAGCCACACAAACAGAAGAGAGAGCGTAACACTAAGGAAAAGAAGAATCAGACTGGAAGGGCAAAATGGAAAATTTAGACTGAGTATCAGAAAAAAGTCTCAGTGCTGCTCTCTGTTAGGCTTTGGAACGATCTCCCAAGGGAAGGGTTGAAACCATCTCAGCTGAGATGTTTAAAACTAGACTGAGCAAAATATTAGCATGTGGGAATAGTCACACGCTGACTTGTGCAGTGGGCTGGATGGGACCTAATCCCACCTCCAGCTTTCATGAGCTCTTTCCTCCCAGCAGTGTCACCAGCCAGTCGATCGGGATCTACGGGTCGATCTTGGAGCCTCTGACGGGATCCTGACTGGTTTGGCCAAGAGGCTGTCAAGTGCCAGCGCTTCAGCCGCCCCTCCCCCTCTGCTGCTTCTCTCCTGCCCTGTGCCTTGGCGCTGCCTCCTCAGGAGCTGCCTGCTTGCTGGGCAGGGCAGGGGAGGGGGGTGCTGGTGTCAGGGTGCCCCCTCCCCCTCTGTATCCCATCTCCACAGAGCAGAGAGGGGGCACAGCAGGACTTGGGAGGGAGTTTGCTGGCTGCTCTGGGGAGTGGTGCAGGGCCAGGGCAGGGGTCAGCCTCCTTAGCCCCACTGCACCCCACCCAGAAACTGCCTGAGGTAGGCAGGGCCCAGCTAGAGCCTACGTCCCGAAACCCTGCCCCAGTCATGAACCCCCTCTTGCACCCCAAGCACCCCTGCATCCAAATGCTCTCAGAGAGGGTGCACCTAGAACCCTGCCCCAGGCTCAGCCCAGAGCCCCTCTCGCACTCCAAATCCCTAAATCCTAGACCAGAGCCTGCCCCCAGCCCTCTGCCCAGCCGGGCGAAATTGACAGAGGAGGGGGGGAAGGACGGCGTGAGCAGGGGCAGGGCCTCAGAGAAGGGGCCCAAAGGAGATGAGGCCAGGGTGTCTGGGTGTGAGGTAGATCTTGCGCTGCTCTTGCATTCAAACAGTGATCTCATGCTTGAGAAGGCTGGAGACCGCTGCACTAGAGCATGTCTCCTGCAAGGAGTGGGAGTCCTGTGGCCATTACGGCTAGCACAGCATGCAGGCCTTTAGCGACAGGGCGGCAGCAGAGCAGAGGCAGATTAATGAGCTCAAGGCATTTACCTAATTCCAGCGTGGACACGTCCCCTTCAGCTCTCAGCACCAGTCCAAGGCCAGGAAGGGTCACGACATCATCCGGTCTGACTCCTGCCTCTGCCAGGCCACGAAAGCCACGCAGCACCTGCGCATTAACCCAACCACTGGAATTAGACCAAGGGGCCACAGGAGAGAAAGGAGGGACTGAGGTGCGCCAGAGCCAGGGCAGGGTGACACACATTCGGGTAATCCTGCCGAGTGACTGTCTCCTCTCTCCCTCACCTCAGGCTCTTCCAGGATTTCTCTGTTCCTTGGTCTCTCTCGTTCTCTCTCTGAGAAGCACCCACCTTCTCCTCATGTTGTCTAACCTCTTGCACTTGCCAGGGCCCCCAGATCTCTCTCCGTGGCCCCCAAAACCTTCTCTCCTTCTCCCACAAGTGGCAAGGGAGGAGGGACTGCTGCTCGCAGAGTGAGAGCAGGTGTGTCAGCACACGCCAGGCTCTGGGCCCAAGAGCTTGCTGCTTCGGCTTGGGGTGCTGTGCTGAGACACACCTGCCAGAGCAGAATAGCACGGAACGGAGCAGCAGG